CGAAGAGATCTTATCAGTAGCTGAGCTTAGACTAGAATTAAGCCTAGATTTGCGTTTTTCTAGCTACTTAGTCGCCCGAGGGATGCCGGTAGAGATATTACTACCTGATGTTAAACCTTATGAAACTAGTCGATCTAGTAGAGGCGGAGATTGAAAGCGAATATTGAGTTTTGATAGTACCCGATCAGGATCTAATAGCACTAAACTAGTAGCTGCGAAGGCACTTTAAACGATAGACTCTTTAAATAAATCGTTACGAGCCGCTGGAAAGATATCAAGGAAGTCATCTTTCTCGATAGAATCGATGCCTAATCGGGTATATTCTACAACCCGCCTTCCGTAAGAGCGCTTTAATACAGCAAAACAACCAACATTAAGAGGCTGTAAAAGATAAGAGGCATGCGGAGGTATATATATTAGTATAATGTTGTTTTCCTGGCAAATCTTATCGAATGTCGCTATAAGATGACTGTCGTGGCCATCAAGGACTAAAAGATAATATTTCCCTTTTATCTGACTTTTTGTATACGGAATAAAGTGTTTTTGAAGCCAATCAACGCCAATTTCGTTACTCGTCTAGCTATTTAGACTAACGTTAAGAGCCTAATATTTTGTAAGGTCGTCGAACCATCGTTCTATAAAGTCTTTGCCTTTAAAGATAACGTATGGTAGGAGCGCTCGCCCGGAGGCGCAAATTGTTTTAATAACAGTCACCTATTCGCGATTACCAGCCTGTAAAACCCCCTCCGACCGGTATAAAATGACTGTGTGATAATCTTCGTTGTTGCACTAACTCCCATCGCAAATCCCGATTCGTCAAAGTTGTAGATATTATCAGAAGTGATACCATATTGAGCAATGGTTTTTTCAATAAGCTTAAACCACTCAACAATAGTATTTGGATCTTCCATTAAGGCACGTTTGAAGTCATATTTGCGAGAGAATCGACTAGAGAGCTCGGGATGTCGTTTAATGTATTGTGTTGGCCAATTCTTACTAACGGTCTAGGGGGTATGATCTCCACGGTTTTCGAGTAGTAAAATGGCCATATCTCTTAACATGGCGATCGTAAGAGCAGCACCTCTATGATCCATAGAGATTAACCAATCCTGGATTGATTCCTCTTCCAATTGGGTGAATTTATGGCCTATAGCCCTTATGTCAGACCAACTAGTTACCCCTTTCATCCGATCTTGTAGCGTAGATCGTGGGACTTCGAAAGAGCGAGCAGCAGCAGCAACGGAGGTAAACCGGCCATTTTTGATAGCCTTAATTGCTAGTAGAACTCTGCCTTCCTGCTCAACTGATTTTTGAGCTTTTTGACCGTGGATTGGAGGCATGGTAGGTGTTTAGAAATAGGAGGTTTGGTGATGGGAAGCAAAATTGAAGTGCCTGCCGGAACGACCAGGATCCACGTTACTTGCTGGCAATTCACCGACAATAGTTTCTGTGTGTAAAACATGGAAGCCAATTTCGAATATTGCTGTAGTGACTCATGGCCCGGTGGCATCTTATTGACCATTTTTATTGTATAGTCGTTCAGAAAAAGATATCGAAGGTCTGCAATAGTCCTCTTCTAAATGAGGGTTGCGCTTTGGTAATAACTTATGATAAGTGGTATCACGAAGCCATGAAGTTAAATGAATTCGAGCTTAAGGAAAGCTTGAGTATCTATCAAGATTTCTAGCGGCATCCCATGTCATTTGTACTAAGGCCTATTGCTTGTAAGTCAATGTGCAAACGTTTCAACAGTCTCATAAAAATGTCACAAGTTCTGAAAACAAATTTGATCACACGGGCGGTTCAACGTTTGAGTGCGTCTGCAATGTTGTGCTCCCTACAAATTGGAGATGGGCTTAATCTTATCTTGATGCAGTACTGGTGCTCTTTGCAAATCACCATCGTTCAACCACCCTCGTTTAACCATCCACAAGAAACACACAAGACTATCAAACCAAGTTATTGATCTGCAGATATTTACCTAGTCAGTGGTATTCCTGTTCGTTGAAAGACAACCCTAATGCTACACTTACTCTTTTTTTAAAATTACATTGCCTTGGAAGACCGGATGTAAGAGGACTACAAATGACCACAGGAAATGTTTATAAAGTGTTACGAGCCTTCTTAATACAATCCGCCTTGTCATTATGTCATCACACACACATGAGGAATGGCGTTCTGGGGATGATGCATCAAGCATATACAGCCGATCACCGGATTGCCCTAGGACTGTCACGAAGAATTCAGGATCAATGATCCTGAACCAATTCTGCCGTGTTCCACCGCCTTTCGTAGTTCGTGTTTTACATTGTTTGATTGGATGCCTCAGGCATCACTACCTTAATTGTTTCAGCGTGTTGTTTCTTTCTCTTTCTTTCTTTCTTTCTTTCCCCATGTTTAGTATTCTAGTTGAATGCACTCTTTTTCATCAAGACTTGGCTCGTAACAGATGTGTAGATTTGTCTTAGTAGAATCTACCTATCGATCATCGACCTATTCTACTACTTACATGATCACGTGAGGCTAACCGTGTCCTAGTGTATTGCGGTATTATTAGAGACGGCAAGTTAAGGGCCGGAAATGGCCTTCTCGCGGTAATCCTCGGTTGTGTGCGAGTATAGTTCGTAATTAACAACATAGGGCCAGAAACGGCTCCTAAGTCGAAGTGTTTCCCTGGCTCGTACTGGGGATGTCCCAGTATAGGATCTTACACGTGATCTGCATAACATATTGAACGGTTGGCTCTCGGTGGCCCATCTGTAGGTCGCAGTCTCCACATGTGATTGGTGACTGGCATGTCCGTAACACTCCCCAGCTAGAAATTGAGAATAAGCATATATTTTCCCGCTTAACGTCCGATATCCCGTGTTCTAAATCGCAATATAGTATAATCGAAGAACAGTGGCTTTGTGACTTGTGGATTAGACTTTGAGTGGTTGGCTCTACATCTATTGGGATAACTTGTGGTGTCAAGTTCAGCCTGGACAACGTTTTAGCTCGCTAAACTGCTAACAACCCAAACACAGGATAGTCTTAATAGAGCCTTGGAGGATGAAGCTCGGCGAGGAATATCATAACACACTGATCAATATAGCGAACCTGGCATTGAACTTTTAGAATCAGGGCCAGTGGGAGGGATCCGAGAACCTCGAGGTGTAGGTGTTGGAGACTCGTAAGAGGAGGCTTGGCGAGGAACATCCCTCCACGCTGATCACTATGGCCAATCTCGCTTCCACTTGGAAATCTTCAGGGTCGAAAGACTGACGCTCTTAGTTTAATACGATCTTATTTAGACAAGCAGAAAGAAGTCTTCGGCCTGATCACCCCGACACTTTGTATAATTCTAAGACCTCGCTTTAGTTAAAATTCGAAGGACTGAATGTTAATATATAAATTAAGAAACTTTGACAAGTTATAGTGTTCATAAATAGGATGTTTTTCTTTGTTATATATATACTATGCTAGTCGAGTCTTTGCAATCTTGCGTTCCGGGAGATGGACCACACGTAACGGCACCAAGTGGGTCCCGCAAATCATATCTCCATACATCCTACGTGCTTCATGTATATCCCTAACAACAGTCTTCTCGACCTCACATAACGTTCCATAAGTTGATGAAACTATCCACAGGAACATGACTTTGTTCCTCGAGGTGGTGTTACAAGACCCCAGAAGCTACGTCGGGTTTCCTAGGGGCTATTTGACTCCTAGAAGCGGCTTCTGTGCTCCCAGGAACTGCACCAAAGCCTCTTAGAACAAAAGAACCCCTAGGGCCAAGATGTGCGTTTCTAGCACTAACAGAGTCGTTAATAGGAACGTGATTGATTTTCCGATAGTGAAGATGGAGAATCCTACAAGCTACGTACGATTTACTTGGGCTATATGATTCCAGGACGACTCACATATTTCCAGGGTCAGCTTTTTGAAGTCTTTACAAACACCAAGATTGATGGATATTTAGAGAGAACAGATCGTCAACTAGCACATATCGTTTGCACCGAGACACTCAAAGGATGAGTATTAACGTGGGAATACTGCTCCAAGATCGGTCAAGATCGGCCGGCTAGCCAGATCAAGCTCTTGGTATCTGAAAGATAGTGTATTCCAAGACAATTAACCCCGACGACAATGTTGTATATTGTGTTTATCTCTTTCATCAATATTAACGTATTAATATTAACGTGGGTTGTCAACCCCACCCGCCCTGCCAAGCAATTTCGTGATTTCTTCGCAGTTTGCCTCTAAAGCTTTAAAGGTATAGCCCCGTCGATCGCAGATGCAACTCGTATAGGAAACAACAATTTGTTTTAGCGGAACCGGACAATAATTATTACATTGTGTTCGTTTCATTCCTCAAGATTAAAGTGGCTTGTCGATCAATCATGCTCCTGCCAAGCCATCTCGTATTTTGGTTAGACCCTGCCGATCGCCCATACGGCTGGTATAGAAACGGGACTATTTTTGGCAGCGTATCCGGACCTTTCGGGCCTCACATCGTATTCACCCTAGATATTTTATGTAGGCGTTTTGGCCCCAGGGTAGGATTTATATTCAGAATCTTCCTCGTGTTATGAGAAAATGAGACTAGGAAAGCCTAATTACGAGCTCTTTGTGGAAAAGTATACAAATTATGGGGAAATCAACTCAAATGCATACTTCCCTATAATCTAAAACACATTGGTAAAGTGTGAAAACACATTCTCATCGTTTTTTAATATACTCCCTAGCACTAAATTTGGACAAATCTGCCTCGGCGGTGATCCTGTTAGGTTGTGCAGTGCCACCGTGATCAACACCTGGTAAAGATCGACATACCAATCAAAGTATAAGTATTCAAGTCCTGCCTGATGCACAACATTCTGGTTACAAGTTTCAAGTCATTCAAAGTTTTCACCATCTCTTGCGGCAATCGAAAGGAAACACAGTCCTCAGAAACACAACATCCCTTACCGAAGAATCACCAATACGCAGAATCCACCTAGCTGCCTCTGTTCGCCATTATGCAGCTCGTCAACTTGGCTCTGACCCTAGCTGCAGCTTTCTCTATGGCCAATGCATACAAAATCACTACCAGTGATGTCAACTGTCGCAAAGGTGCCTCAACGAATGATGCGGTTGTCACTACATACGACAAGGGTGCCGATGTCAAGATCACCTGCCAGACTTACGGTGAAGACATTCAGGGCAACTCTATCTGGGACAAGACCTCTGATGGCTGCTATGTTTCCGACTACTACGTGAAGACCGGCTCAGACAGCATGGTCACTAAGGACTGTGGCGGCGGCAGCTCTGGTGACGGCAGCTCATCCTACAAGGGCAAGATCAGCCGCAAGGAGATCCTCTCCCGCGGTGAGTACTGGGTCTCACGCCGCATCCCATACTCTATGAGCGCCTATTACCCGGACCCCGATGGCCGCAAATACCGTACCGACTGCTCGGGCTTCGTTAGCATGGCTCTCCATGCGTCTGCCCCAGGCCTCAGCACTGTCAGTCTCCCGGAGATTGCGAAGCATATCTCTTGGAATGACATCCAGCCCGGTGATTTTGTTGGCACCCTTGGCTCCGGTACTGGCGGTGCTGCTGGCCACGTCACTCTGTTCAAGTCTTGGGCCGACAGTTCCAAGAAGGAGTACAATACGCTTGAGTGCCGCGGTACCTACGGCTGCGTCGCGTACAAGCGCCCTGTTGGTTGGAAGGTTGGCAGTTACACGGCCAAGCCCTACCGCTACAACAACGTTAAGGAGTAAGTTGGAGCTTGCAGAATTTTGGAGTTGAGAAGAGATAGAACCGATTCTTGGTACATGTATAGTGCTTGTGACGGCTGCGGTGGTTAAGCAAGCGGAGGGATAGGGATAGCTTCAGCTGAATTCCTGGGTGGATCAGATAGGCAGAAATCGAGGGCAAATTGAACTTTGATTACTCTCAAATTTCATACATGTATGGTAGAACAACACTACCGTAGAATCTGGAAAGTTCCGTGCAAATATTTGTTAGGAACCTTGGTATTTAAGGTGAGAGTTATGCTAACTAACGGTGGCAATGGTCAACTCAGACGTAAGACCCTTCAATAGACCACCTGGGTTATAGATCGTGGACCAAAACCTAAACCTGTGGCGGTTTTAGAGTTCACCTAATGCATACTGTACAGCCATGTGTAATTGGTATACCTTACTAATTTTCTATTTGGCAGTTTCCCCAAAATATTTCCATTATTGTATTTACTGCGTACCCTGGATGCTTTCTTCGACCCACAAAACAAATGTTCCTCAAGAATGCACGCAGTTTCCAGCAAAGGTACTTTTCAAACATAATCTTGTGGCATGAGTATATTGGTTGTATTGTTGTGGAATTGTGTGGGTCACAATCCAGTTATATAGATACAGGTCTAATCCTAATGCATGAGTGGTGCGTATCAGGATGACAGAACAATACCATCAAAAACAGGTGCAACACAGCACACCACCTGCCCCATCACTCCCGCAAGACCCCCTCTCCCTGTTTTACCTCCTGTACGTCGTCAAAATACCTGTTCTGGGTGTAATCAGAAAGGGCATTCTTTTAACAAATGTGCTAATGCATAGTTTAGTGAAATTTATGATGTTTTGGTTCTTCAAATGATGTTTAAAAATTAAAATTATTGATGGGGTGCCCGCTCGCTTGGGAATCACGTTATCCGTATTCCGTTGCATTTCAAAGGGCGCGCCAAGCCACCATTGCCGACCCGCCCGCCTCGACCGCATGGACCTGCATTGCTGATAAGCAGAGTAAGAAGTACCCGCTGGTTGTTATCTGTGTCTGCATCCCCGCATATGTTGACTGCAATGGGTAAGCGACATGTGCCAATACTTCGGAATTAAGTGTTGGCGTCCTAGTACTGACCGTTGACCCCGGATGTAGCCCAGCCTCAGATAACAGATAAAGGTCGCTTTTTCCCGCTGATAGCGGTCGAATGACCGCTCGGATAAGGCATATCTAGCGAATCTCAAAGCTTGATAGCTTGATCTGACGAATCCTATTGCTTCTTGGACGCAAGCTCGGCCGACCTGGTTTGATCTCTGCTCGCCCTTTGTCTGTTTGATGTTTTACGTAAATCTGTATACGACTCTCTAATCGCCCATGCTGATGCTGTAGTGGAGATCACAGTATTTCATGGTGTCTCGGTTGTAGCCTATCTTCATGTTCAATACGACCGCGTGGCTGTCATATTGCTATCAATCGTGTATCGGCTGGTAGATACCGACACGAGTGAGATTGGGTGCAATCCGGATATACCGGTACTCAGAATAGAAAAGAAAGGGGATTTAAAGACACAAAAGACATGAGATAGCTATGAAGTACAAGGCACGATAATTCAAAGTACTCATCCTATACTTCCGCTGATCCTCGTCATTACCACAAACCATGACGGACAACCTACGGCATATCCTACTGGCGCTAGGGCTAACTGGCCTAAGCCTTGCCGGTGTCGTGCAAAGAGACATTGAGGTGATACGGTTTCATGGTCCCGGGGGTGTAACTGCCGACTCGTTGCACAACATCCACGTTGAATTCTTGGATACCCAATTTGAGGGTCATCTGCAACTCTTCTATGGAGAATGCGGAATTGAAAACCCGCTGCAGAGTCACCATGAGATCGGAAGCACGTTCGTGAAACATGAAGCACACCCGGAGCGTTTTGTTTGGGCCACACCATCTGATGCACCCAATTCACACTGTCTCCATGCTTTCTCCGGATCCACACTCATGGGTCGCTCCTCACCCATCACGGTATCATCACCAATCAAGAAGCGAGAGAGCATCGCCGATGTTGCAGATGCCATGGGTCCTTGGTTCGACGGAGTCGCATACATGAAGTCAAAGAAGAACAACAAGGCATTTATCTCCAAGGCAAAGAGTCACTCTGTTGCCATTATTGGTGGTGGAATGTCTGGTTTGATGACGAGTCTGCTGCTCGAGTCTGTTGGCATTTACAACTGGCATATCTACGAATCATCCCAACGTGTTGGCGGCCGCATCCGCACGAAGTACCTGAATGGCACAAGTCCTCATCAGTACCAGTACCAGGAGATGGGTCCCATGCGTTTCCCGGTCAGTATCACATATGCCGACACTAATGAGACCCTCGAAATCATGGACCACCGGATGGTCTTCCAATTGGCTGGTGTGCTCAACGAGATGAACAGGCACAAGCCCGAACTTCAAGTCAACTTTATTCCCTGGGTCCAGAGTAGCCCTAATGTCCCTGCTGCCTCTGGTGGCAACCGTCTACCCAACGGACAAATTCCCAGTGCTGCTCAGGTGGCTGCCAACTCATCTCTCGTTTACACCGCTGCGTCGGAAAATGCCACCGCTGCCGCAAATGCAGCATCCGATTATGAGAAATACACTAAGCTTGATGACAGAGAGACTATTCGCAAGATTGCAACAAACATGTATCAAGCTCACAAGCAGGCCGTTGAAGATGGCATGTTCCACTGGTCTGAAGCTGGATATCTCCGATATGCAATGGGCTACGATGCTAACCTCACTGACTATGTTGCTGGCACCACCAATTCTCCAATCTGGGGTGACTTTTATGACGATGTCTACTTCGCAGCCACCGAGTGGCGCACCATCGACAAGGGCTTGGAGAGTTTGCCCCGTGCCTTTTACCCCCACGTCAAGGACAAGCTGACTCTGAACCGCACTGTTCAAGGTCTGGTCCACAATGAAACATCTGGAAAGATTGCTGTTACCTGGCGCGACGATCCCCTCCAAATGGTCCCAGAAAGCAAGGAATACGATTACGCTGTTGTCGCTGCGCCTTTCAGCAAGGTCAGACTGTGGAATCTCCCTCGCTACTCCTCTCTTCTGAGCCGGGCTATCTCATCCCTGAACTACGACCCCGCCTGCAAGATGGCTCTACTCTACAAGACTCGTTTCTGGGAGCATCTGGACGAGCCTATCCTCGGTGGCTGTGGCTCAGTCGATGTCCCCGGTGTCGGAAACGTTTGCTACCCATCATACAACATGAACGGCACCGGACCAGGAGTCATCCTTGCCTCGTATATCTCCGGCACACCAGCACGTTCCACTGCTGCGCTAAGTCCCGAGGAGCACGTTGCACTTATCCAGCGCACAATGGTCGAAGTCCATGGCGAGATTGCCGCAGAGCAGTTCACTGGTATCTACGATCGCCAGTGCTGGGAGTTTGACCAGCACCAGGCTGGTGCTTGGGCCGATCCTCTTGTTGGTCAACAGGAGCTGTATTTGCCTGCCTATTATCAGACTGAATTGAACACCATCTTCATTGGTGAGCATACTAGCTATACCCATGCTTGGATTTTCTCGGCTTTGGACTCTGCTGTTCGGGGTACTACCCAGTTATTGCTTGATCTCGGTTTGGTTGATGAGGCGAAGTCTATTGTTGAGACTTGGATGGGTCGCTGGATCAAACTTTGATGGTTTGATAGAATATGTATAATATTTACAGCGGTGATTGCTTAATGACAGATGAATAAATTTGTAGAACGTTTAACTATACTTCAAGTTGAAACATTATTGCTCAGGTCTGCGACATTCACTGCTGGATAAGCCCCCATATTTCACTACTAGGTCCATGTACAATGACATTTTGTAATCGAAAAGCAAAACCGACCATTGTGATTTCTTAGGCGGTTAGCAAACAAAAATCATCAACTTGAAGCGTCACAATAGAGAGTTGTTGAACTTTGGTGAGCGTTGGTGAGTGTTGACGAGCTTTGATAGCTTTGGTGAGCGTTGATATGAGTGTTGTCGTGAGATGTGACTGAAATAACCGGGCTCGTCGCACTCTTCGGCTGCTGCTTCGAACAAACCGTGTTGGGATGCACCTGGCATTTTCCCGAGGCGTTTGAGAGCATGTGACAAACCCAGTTGCGACAAAAGATTGTACATCATAATGAATGAATGATCTGCGATGCGGACGGCCAGAAGTGAACGAGAAAACGACCTTCAGGTGGTATGTAGTAGAAAGGGCCACATTGGAACAGTGGAAATACCATTAACGACTAAAGCAGATGTCAATGCAGCTGATACATGTTGGGTGGGGTGACAGCCCTCTATATAACCGGAGAACAGGGCCGCCATCAAATGGCAAAGACAACGCTAGAGGCTGAAACAGTCGCACCTTCAAGGCGCAGTTCAGTTACGCGAATCTATAGATCGGCCGAGTTTGACATCTGCCCGTTTCTCGCTTACTCTTTGGTCCATTTTGCTTTTTTCCGGCGGTGTACTAAATATCCAGCTACTAGCATGTTTTTTTTGGAGTATCAGTCACCATTTCCTCATATCATTTAGAACAACCAGAGAGAATAATGTGCGTCAGCTTCGCGATGCTCTGACGAGGCTCATGGAAGAGCGCTTGAATGCACACTATGAATCTCATCCATCTCATTCGTATGCGTGCCAATTCCCCCTTGAAGTTGATTGATTCCGGGCTTTCGTACGTTCCTCGAAGGCGTGGAATGAGGAGATGAGCTGAGCTGTCTAGAGGTCATACGCCCAGGGAACCATCTAGGGGCGTAATGGCGAACAAATTGACGGAGATAGGGAAGAGAGCCACATATGATGATGAAATTGGCTTCGATGTTACTGCGACAACATCCATTCCGCATCAGTCATCTGTTATCAAAAGAATAGCTGTTTTATGTGAGCTTACATGAACACACTAGCGAGGGCGATTTTGTATGGTACATCCATCGATGTCACCAGAGGCCATAAGGTTGCC